ATGGCCGCCGGACGCCCCAATCGTCGCAAAGCGAGTGCGGCGATTGGGGCAGATCCATATAGCGATCCCCAAAAAGGGATCGCTATACGGATTCTTCGTTAAACGGTGCGCTCGTTAAGCGAGGCACCACTGTACTTATTAAGGGTTCTGTTAAAAAGGCATTCTTGACAATCATGCTTAAATGTACAGTAAATGTCTACTATAAGGTCCCAGAATATACTGCACTTCTGATCATTAGTTTTGGGCTTCTGAAGGTACATGAAGTATACCCTGAAACATCTGAATTGAGATCATGACAGGTCACCAAAAAGTGGTCAATGATAGCCCTGTAGTTCTGCTAGCTGGCTGTAATTTTTTTCATGTATGATCTGTTGAATTAAATGTATGTGCCACATAAGGTTGCCCTGATAAGAAAACAATGAGGCGCAATTACTAAGAATGGAACAAGACAGGATACAATACTTTGGTCTATTCCTTTTTAATTTGACAATAAAACCTCTTGTATCTCAAAATGAGGAGATATAAACAATAGGAAGTATTTTTTTAACAAAGGTAATTAAGTGAAACTTTGCAAATAGTATTCTCTTCACAATGACATCATCACAACCAATTGACAACTTTGAATAATAAGAGTTGGATCATAAAATAAATTGAGCTTCATATTCATCCTAGATAAGCATTGGCAAAATTCTTCTTAAGGACATGATACATGTGGACTAATAGCTGAGACTTAGAATTTTTAAACAAATTATGAATATAAAACTAAGCATTATTCTTTGCTCAGTATGTGCTTTGTATTAACAGCACATGGCAATACCACCTCATTCTTTTGAGACATTTCAACCTATATTTCACATTTTATTTAGGATTCTAAGATCTATGACAGTCTATAGTTATCTGTGGAAGGAAACAGATTTAATTTTGCATGTTTGAAACTGATACAGATGAAATGGCCAAATATAAAATCTTTTGCCTGCCACTATTGATAAGTGGTGCTACTTTTACATCATATGCCTGTGAACATCAGAGCTAACCATTCCAATGGCAATGTTAATGATAATAAAGCAATAACATTGTTTTTCAAGAAGTTCTACAGCTGACACCATCACAGCTGAAGTACAAGAGTCATGTTCACATTTCAGAAGAGTTCTGAAATGTATTTTTGAACTAGACTCCCAATAAGCTTCATGGCTTGCCTGGATTACTAACTCAGTGAAAGGAGGTACTACTGCTCTCCTTTCACTTATTTATAAGCTCTAGATACCTCGTCCACTGTCTGAGAACTTCAGTTTCTTAAGCAGAAATCTAGTTAAGTTAGAGAAGTTAATAAACTGAAATGTGGCAAGGCCGTGTAAAACATAAGGGTTCAGTAAGTAAGTGGGAGGCCATGAGTCCAGAAAGTTTCCCTAAACTGAAGGTAACACAACAAGATGTCCTAATCGCTAACTTTTACCCACCACCAAATTTATCTCCTATGACTAAAATAACTTCAAGTATATCTAAGTGTGGCAAAATCTACTGCAAACAGTAACTGAGTTAATTGTTTCCATTAAAGGAGGCTGTTTTAAAAGGGGAAGCACCTCTTTTAGTAAATGGTGCTTCTCCTTTTTAAATCTCCCCCTCTCCCATTTAGTGACGTGGTGGCACTGCGGGCTAAACCGCAGAAGCCTGTGCTGCAGGGTCAGAAGACCAAGCAGTCGTAAGATCGAATCCACGCGACGGAGTGAGCTCCTGTTGCTTGTCCCAGCTCCCGCCAACCTAGCGGTTCGAAAGCATGCAAATGCAAGTAGATAAATATGGACCACCTTGGTGGGAAGGTAACAGCGTTCCATGTCTAAGTCGCACTGGCCATGTGACCACGGAAGATTGTCGTCGGACAAAACGCTGGCTCTATGGCTTGGAAACGGGGATGAGCACCGCCCCCTAGAGTCAAACACGACTGGACAAAAATTATCAAGGGGAACCTTTATCTTTACCTTTTACCACTCCCATTTAGGTCAGATGTCAACCCAACTTGGTTGTCAACTTCAGAATTTCCACAAAGCTACAGTGGTGCCTTGACTTATGAACGGCCTTAATTACGACCATTTCAAGTTGCAACCAGCTCCAGCTGCAAAATTTTGCTTCTATGAGGAAGCTCCATAAGTGGAAGCTCCATACTTGTGATTCGAGCTTCCACTTAGAGACAGAAAAAGGTAGGGAAAAAAGGTGGAAAATTCAAATTTCCAACTGTAGGTGGCGACGAGGCTGCTTCTTTATAGCTCTTTCACCTCAGCAGTTAGAGAGTGTGTGTTGGAGGAGGC